GTTGATAGTAGACCTTTGGTAGCTTGTCATAGGTTGCTACATTGAATTAGTTTTGTTTGGGATTATAATTTGGGGTGTGTGATTGACCTGTGATGTCTCAGAAACTGTGTAAAGGAACCATGCTAAGATGGATTCTCCAGTAGCTCGAGATGTATATATATTACTCCTTCTCCTTTTCTTGTTACTGTCTAGGTACTAAAGAGTATAGAGGAAGTTGGCAGAATTACAGAAAAAGCCGTAGTATGTGAAGAGGTAGAATTCCTCTTGAAATGACTAAAATAGATTAAAAGAAAGAACATTGCTTTTGTTTCATGTGAGATTTGACACATTATCAATTAATTTTGTGTCTGTAGATCTTCTTCCATTCTAATCAGTGGATTGCTAATTGTCTAGTGGTTTAAAAGACCAGCTATTAGAGTTGTAACTTTTGGGGCTGGCCCGGTGGCATAACAGTTAAGTGTGTGCGCTCTGCTGCGGTGGCCCGGGTTCGGATCCCGGGTTCGCACCGATGCACCGCTTGTCAAGCCATGCTGTGGCAGCGTCCCATATAAAGTGGAGGAAGATGGGCATGAATGTTAGCCCAGGGCCATTCTTCCTTACAAAAAAAACAAAACAAACAAAAAAACCACCCAACCAAACAAAAAAAGAATTGTAAGTTTTATTACAGTTTTTTCTAATTAATGCAATGTTGACATGTTAAAATGTAAACTTTATATTCTTTGTTATATTTCAAGGACTTAGGTTTGGTTGCAATGAAGTTAGATGTACTAGTTGTATGGGTAGTTGCCTCGGTTAATTCAGGCATAGTGCCAGTAAGGCCAGGGTCACCATAGCAGGTGTTAAATACTTTGTTATTTTCAACAAATTCCTGGGATGGGGCCTTAGCAAGTATGTTTAGTTCAAATCGACTCATTAGATACAGGTGACATAGAAAATAGTGACTTCTGTATAGGAGGAAATTTGGCACATTTTTGAGATCTACTGATTCTTGATTATTTATACGTAATTCCACATAAATTCAGTACTTTCAGAGGATATTTAATGATAGCAAAAGTTTTTGCACCTGTGCCCTTTACATTGCAGAAGTTGGTTAGTTAACCAACTCATGAGTGCCTATGGCTTGGCCCCTACCTGTTAGTGGCAGACACTTTCCACTGAGGTCTTGCCACAGGAGTGAATCCTCTCTAGAATTTCTCTTTTTTGCTTGAGATTACTCAGAAGCCCCACTCTCTCCTTTCTTTTTTCAGGTCATTCAACATGATCTCTTCTGTAGGTTTTACTAAACACAGGGCTGGTCCACATTCTGTGCCACTAGAATCCCTGAGCCAAAGTTTTTGAAAGCTTAGCTACCTGACTGAAAACTGAGAGGAGGGATGATATAGGGAAAATACGCACAAATCAGTGATGCGGAAACCAGCCCCAAGAGGAAATACAGTAAGTGCCAAATGTCAGTAGAAGTGTAGTTACTTGGAGTGTACTTGAAGTGATTTGAAAAAAGCTTCCTGAGAGAGGTGAGACAAACAGTGCTGTGAGTCTGGGGTATGTGTGGTGTGTTTGGGAGTGGGTGTTTGTGTGATGAGAAGGAGTTGAGCGTTTATACTGTTGCAGAAGAGCTTCAGAAAGAGGGGCTTGTTATTAGGAAGAGTATTCTGGTGACAGTGAGCTGGATGGATTTAGAAAGGGAAGGCTCTTAGGAGCTATTATAGTGGTTCTGACCTGAACTGAGAAAGGGTTGATGGCAGTTGGAATGGGAGGAAAAGAACTGATTGGCCAGAAACCGCTAGAGAGAATCTGTGGGGAGAGGGCAGAATTCAAGAAGATGCGGAGTTTCTGTGCTAGGGGCAAGGGTATTAATGGTGTCTTTAATAGAAACTGGAGAAATCAGGATAGGAGTTTGTTGTGAGAAGAAGGTAAGAGCTTTCATGTAGGATGTGATAAGCTATTGGAGCCCTGAAATGAGGTCAGATTAGTTGATAGTGGGTTCACCATATTGTCAATCTTCAGGATCTTGCTCAAGACTGGTTGTTTTTTTCTGTTGACTGTTGTGAGGAAGATAGTGATGTAGAAAGGTGCTGAGGAGAAAAGAGGAAATGACTATGTGGGATTTTTGGTTTAAGAGTTAAGTAGTATTTTATTATATAAATATTACAATTCAGAGTTGCCTTGTAATATTTTAACAGAACCTGAAAATTCAGCATGCTTGGAATATCCTTTTAGTTTTAGCTTTTATCTATATCCCCCTAAGATGCTTTCTGAGCATTTGTACATCTCCATAGATGTATGTAGTTAATATTTATATCAACAATTTATATTAATATTTATTTTACTAAGTATAGAGTTACTAATAAAGCTGATATAAAACCTTAAAGACTATCAGCCCTTCCTTTGGATAACTTCTCCTCATTTGAGACTAACTGGCAACTGAGTTTCTCTCAGTTTGTTTCTTAAGTAGTTTGTACTTGATGAGGATTATTTTACTTTTCCAGTTCTCTTTCATAGGATTGTAGTAGGTGGTTGGGGAAGTTTGTAGCATAGGTGCAATTTTGAGGAATTGACTTCAATATAGATATATTTCTTTTATAATGTTTAGTAATGCTTCACAAATAGGTCTAATTAATTCATTGTTAAGCATGACAGTATAAAAAATGTTCAGTTACTAGCCTCTGCCTTTCCTCAGCCATTAATCCATATACCCATAATACTTGTGCTTTTATGATTATTTGAACTGGGAAGTATATAATCAAAAGAAGTTATGAATTTAGTACTGGAAAATGGTTGATATACTATGGAGGCATTATTCAGTCTGTCTGCAGATAGAGCTTGATGCACAAATGGACTCATGGACTCTTTGGTCCACAGGATGGCAAATGCTGGTATGTATATGAACCAAGGAGTATTTGTTTTAAGAGTAGTAGTTGTGTCTAGTTCCCCTTAAGGTCCAGATTATGCAGATTTTATTGTTGCTTTTTAGTGTACTAATTAATTGAAGTATGATTCATTATATGGAGTTTGGAAATCTATGTTACATGTAAAATTAGACTTGTAAATTAAATTTATTTGGATATATGAATATGTTAACTTAAAAGATATTTAGTAACAGTTTTATTTCAGTGTGCAATATTAATTCTCAGAGCTGGATGCTATTAAAAATAATGTTCTTTTGGGGATGTTTTGACATCTGGAAGAAGAACTGTACTTAGTGTTAATTTCATCTTAATAATGCAAAATCACATAATTGACCTGATGTTACCCTTACTCTTGTGTTCCATTTACTGATTACCACAGGTACAAATGGCTCTCTCAGATAATCCTCTCCAATGAATTTTAGCTTTCAGTTACTGAAAAAAACAGTATTCCTACCACGTTTCTAATTCCATGTAGAGTGGACACTGTATACATCATTATCTAATATAATGAATGCACTTATCTCAAAACTTTTGAGGTTGGTTTTGGTATTGCTTAGTTACCTAGATTTTTGGAAGGGGTAGGCTATTTAATACCAGGCATATATGACAATGCTTCTTTATTTTTTATGGTAGTTTTTTTTTTTGTCAGACATGGACATTTAAATATGTTATGCCTGGGGCCAGCCCCGTGGCCTAGCGGTTAAGTGCGTGCGCTCTGCTGCTGGTGGCCCGGGTTCGGATCCCAGGCACGCACCGATGCACGGCTTGTCAGGCCATGCTGTGGCGGCGTCCCATATAAAGTGGAGGAAGATGGGCACGGATGTTAGCCCAGGGCCAGTCTTCCTCAGCAAAAAAAGAGGATTGGCATGGATGTTAGCTCAGGGCTGATCTTCCTCACACACACACAAAAATAAATAAATAAATAAATATGTTATGCTGGCACATTAGTTCCATGAAGGTTAGCTAAGATAAGGTAAGGTCACAAGCTGTTTAGTTGAGCCTACAAACATATCAAAGTAAGACTTATCAAAGAAACATGAATTTTTGAATGTGAATATTTTAAATGAAATATTGAAATTACTTGCAGTAGCCCTGGATATGTTCATTATGTTATTTGTTCATGTCATGATAAGTATTTACTTGCTCATTTTAATTTCTTTTTTTTTGTGAGGAGGACCAGCCCTGAGCTAACATCCAATGCCAATCCTCCTCTTTTTTTTTTCTTTTTTTTGCTGAGGAAGACTGGCCCTGGGCTAACATCCGTGCCCATCTTCCTCTACTTTATATGGGACGCCGCCACAGCATGGCTTGACAAGCGGTGTGTCGGTGTGCGCCCGGGATCCGAACCGGCGAACCCCGGGCCACCGCAGTGGAGCGTGCGCACTTAACTGCTTGTGCCACTGGGCCGGCCCCTCATTTTAATTTCTGATAGCATGAGCAAGTAATTATTTATATTTCATTCTTGAGAAAGTAAAGGAAGAAACTGCCTAATGAGTATGAAAATTGCCATCGAATCTCGATTGTCTGTTTTATGGATTCTTATATGATTATAGTTCCACACCCTTTAACACACTTTTGGACTGCTGTCAAATTGTGTGTAATGTGTGTACAAACTAAACTTAAAAATCTAAGCAAGATAAATATAAGTTACCTGGGTTAGGGGAAAAAACAGTTGCTGAAGGAGAAAAAGACTTTAAAGCTAAATATAATTAGTATTTTTTTGCTTTTTCTACTTGGTATATACCACTTTTCCCCCTTCAGTAATAACAAGTAACACAGATAGGACTTAGCCTTAGCAAGTTAGTGATAATATTAGTGCACGTATACATTTAAGATTTTAGAGAAAAATGTCTTTCCCATGTCTAATTTGATTGACTAGCCCAATCAGTTAGCTAATTTTATTGCTCTGTTAAATTAAAATTCTAAATATAGTAGTCCATTATTAAAAGAAATGAGTAGGATTAAAACAGAGAATTGATTAAAATAAAACCTTTTAAAATAATTAGTACTTTTGGATAAAGTAGCAGGCTTCAAGTGAAATTCAGTTTTGGTCTCCTTTACAGGAATAGCTATTCACAGTCAGAATACTTACCACGTTTTGCAGTATCTCCTGAGGAAGTCAGAATCTGAGCCAGCATGAAGACTGAATCTTGTCTTTGGTCTGATTTATAAACTGTACTTTTATTCTAACCATGTGCAAGGTGGATGTTATAGCATGGAAACTAAAGTCTTAGTAAGTGATTTTTAATTAAGCTATTAAATAGTAGCTTTTCTTATAATGAATTTGTCCTCTTAACAAAGTTCACACACTATGCATGGGGTGAGGACTTGGCAAGCAGGGACATAATAATACATTTATGAAGTGAAATGAAAGATTTAGCTTTCCAGGTTCAGGAAAAATCCTCAAGAAAGAGAGGGAAAGTTTCTATCACTCTGCCTGGGATTCTTTTTACTTTTCTGTTTAAAAATAGGTGGCAGGATGATTTTAATTTAGTTGAGAAGGGATTTAAGAAAGTGGAAGGCTGGCTATAGTGGCCAATGTCTAAAGTCAAGTCATTGAAAAAAAATCATTAGTAAATTGCAATGTAAGTTGCTCTATTAGTGAGTTAGTTGTCATTAAATAATGAAGTCTTTATTATAGTGTAGTGTTTAGTAAGCCCAGTGTGTAGAATTCTAGGAACCTTTTAAATGGTTAATACATTTTTAATATGAATTGAATTTTGAGTGTGTTTTAAATATTGAATATTTTGAGTATGAATATTCAAAATTATATTGGAATGGTTATGCTAGTAGTTATCTCAGGGATGTTCCATTGGTTTGATTGTTCCAAGTATGGGTAATGTGCAGTGTTTATTTTTTGTGCTCCAGACAGACCTAAATTTTGAGGATATAGGCTATCAAGGAACTTTATTTCTGTTTCAGTGTTATTTTGTTAGTTGTAAAGATTACTCCTCAACATCTTTCTTTTCTACCTGTGCTTATTAAGAGTAGTGGATTATTAGCACTTTTTTAAAAAGCTACTTTTCTCCCTTAGCAAGAATGATAGAATTGACTTTGTTTGATCTTCTGAATTCTTAAGGGAATCAGATATTATGATACTATACCTAGATAGCATAATAATCTATGTTGTTCATAATTTGAGGATGGTTATGTAAGGTATTTGGTTTGTGTTCTTTTCTTTCCCTTTGATCTTTTAAGTATTGGTTATTTTTCTTTTTTTTAGAAATTTAGGTTCTTTTTTTTTTTTAAATTTTTATTTATTTATTTTTCCCCCAAAGCCCCAGTAGATAGTTGTGTGTCATAGCTGCACATCCTTCTAGTTGCTGTTTGTGGGACGTGGCCTCAGCATGGCCGGAGAAGCAGTGCATTGGTGCGCACCCGGGATCCGATCCCCGGCCGCCAGTAGCAGAGCGCGCGCACTTAACCGCTAAGCCACAGGGCCAGCCCTGGTTATTTTTCTAAATTGATGGTGATGACCTGGCAGAAATTAAACATTTTTATTACCAGCTTCCCTATTTTAACCTCCTTTCCTCTTGGAACAAACTTCCCTTTATCTTCTGCCTATCTCTTTTGCATTCCAGAGTATAATTACATTAAATCTTGAGGTCTAAGATTTTTCTTTGGGAATTTATCTCTAGTGTCTCTTTGGAAATTAAAGAAAAATAAGGATAGTTCAGCATGATATCTTACATGCCTCTTTTGAGAAATTTGTATTTTATAAGTTGAAGGGTACTTTTATTTGGGGGGCATATTTTCAAAGGTAGAATTATGTAGTTACTGTTTTAATAACCTTGTCCTAATTATTTATAGCTTCCTGCCTGACATAACTCACTTCAAGAAGTGCACAATGTCAGAACGTGGAATTAAGTGGGCTTGTGAATACTGTACGTATGAAAACTGGCCGTCTGCAATCAAGTGCACTATGTGTCGTGCTCAAAGACCTAGTGGAACAATTATTACAGAAGATCCATTTAAAAGTGGTTCAAGTGATGTTGGTAGAGATTGGGATCCTTCCAGCACTGAAGGAGGAAGTAGTCCTTTGATATGTCCAGACTCAAGTGCAAGACCAAGGGTTAAATCTTCATACAGCATGGAAAATGCAAATAAATGGTCATGCCACATGTGCACATATTTGAACTGGCCGAGAGCAATCAGATGTACCCAGTGCTTATCCCAGCGTAGGACCAGGAGTCCCACAGAATCTCCTCAATCCTCAGGATCTGGCTCAAGACCAGTTGCTTTTTCTGTTGATCCTTGTGAGGAATACAATGATAGAAATAAACTGAACACAAGGACCCAGCATTGGACTTGTTCTATTTGCACATATGAAAACTGGGCCAAGGCTAAAAAATGTGTTGTTTGCGATCATCCCAGACCTAATAATATTGAAGCAATAGAGTTGGCGGAGACTGAAGAGGCTTCCTCAATAATAAACGAGCAAGACAGAGCTCGATGGAGGGGAAGCTGCAGCAGTGGTAATAGCCAGAGAAGATCGCCTCCTACTACAAAACGGGACTCTGAAATGAAAATGGATTTTCAGAGGATTGAATTGGCTGGTGCTGTTGGCAGCAAGGAGGAACTTGAAGTGGACTTCAAAAAACTAAAGCAAATTAAAAACAGGATGAAAAAGACTGATTGGCTATTCCTCAATGCCTGTGTGGGTAAGTTTCTGCGTTTTTAAAATGGTATGGGAAAAGATATTAAAAATGACATGAAAGATATAAGCAGGGTCCATATTATTTAGCATTTAGTGCATTCAGCATGATAGCTATACTCCCAGTCTGCATGCATAAGAATCTCTGTATTTGTGATCCTGTCATAACTTTGTCCTAAAGTGCCTCCATATCATTTCTGTACGTGTGTCTCCATCATTAGAGAGAAAAACTTTTTAAGTTAAAGCAGAGTTTTTTACATATCAGTAATAAAATATACACCTGGAGTTTAAAACTGCTACTCTATTTATTGTAACAAGATGTGACTGAGGAACACCAGCTGCTGCTTCAGAGTGTTTGTAAACAGTGTGAGCATCTTGTGATGATAGAAGCTTTAGTCAGATGTTAAAAATATCACAAAAATGTGTGACTCCAAGAAGTTGAACAAACGTGATATTGACCTTGAAAATACTGATGTTAATTTAACATTAATGGCGTGTAGTAAATATTTGCAAACTTTGTGAAGCTGATTTCACAGTTCAAATTATCATTTGTGTGTTTTGTGGTTTTAGTGCTTTCCTAAGGAAATTCTGGATATTGGTCCCGGTTACTGGCTCAGAGCTGTTAAAGGACAGAGACATGTTGTGAGAGCAGGGTTTTCACCAGTTATTGACTTGAGTTGATTATTTTTGATGTAATTAGCAAAAGCAGTTATTTTACTCTTCTGCATTTTTCTTTTCTTTTTTTGGGGGGGAGTAGGTTAGCTGTTTGAGTTTTATGATTTAAATTATTTGGATGGAGTGCTTACTTTGTCATTCCATTTTGTAGAGGAAATTTTGAGTGACTACTGAAGTTAAGTATTGTGTGGAACAATAGCTAAGCCTTATACATGGCTTAGTTGTATGTATATATTTTTTTTCCCCAGTACTAATTTCTTTTGTTTATCACATTGAATATAGCCCCAAGAATATGTAAGACATAACTGTAAGAACCTGCAAGTCGTAAAAGTAGATGTCAAGAAATCTGAGTTTTCCTCTTTTTTCTGGTGAGGAAGATTACCCCTGAGCTAACATCTGTTGCCAATCCTCCTCTCGCTCTCTTTTTTTTTTTTTTTTTTGCTGAGGAAGATTGACCCTGGGCTAACATCCGTGCCCATCTTCGTCTACTTTATATGGGTCGCCACCACAGCAGGGCTTTCCAAGTGGTGCGTAGGTGCGCGCCCAGGATCCGAACCTGTGAGCCCCAGGCTGCTGAAGCAGAGCGCGAAAACTTAACCACTACACCACCAGGGTGGCCCCCAAGAAATCTGAGTTTTTTATTTTAGTTTTGTCCTGGCAAAAAAGAATGTCCCAGCAGATGAGCCCTTCTGAACACGAAACTTAGGTACCTAGTAACTGTTAGCTCCAGTATTCTGTCCTGAGGACTAGGGATGAAAGCATGCTGAGCCGTTTTCTATTTCTGTTGTCCCATTTCATCTCGTTTTTTTTTTTCTCCCCAAATTGGGGTACCACATATGGCATGTGATTGCCTTTTTTTTTTCTACAGGAGATACAAAAGGGGTTTTATTTATTATTATTTTTTTTTATTGAGGTCAAACTCATGTAACTTAAAATTTACCATTTTGAAAGTGAACAATTCACTGGCATTTAGTGCATTCACGGTATTGTGCAACCACCACCTCTGTCTAGTTCTGAAATATTTTGATCACCCTAAAAGGAAACTCTGTTCTCATTAAGCAGTTATTCCACATCTCCTCCTTTCCAGAGTCCCTGGTAATCACCAGTCTGCTTTCTGTCTCTATGGATTTATACCTCTTCTGGATATTCATATAAATGGAATCTTATATTATGTGACCTTTTGTATCTAGGCATGGTTGTTTTTTAATTACCTGTATACGTTTTGGAACACTCTTAAAATCATTTTTGCAGGCAGTAGTGGACTGTGCATACATTTACTACAAGGTGGTGTTATAGGACACATAAGATTATGGATGTAATGAATCACATTGCAACAATTCTTAACCTCTTTTGGGGTCATAGAATCCTTTAGGAATCAGGTTCATTGTTTCTTCAGGTTAGTGGATCTCAGGATAAGGACTCCTGCTTTGAAATATTTTCTCTCCTTGAAACACACAAGTTAGACCAATCAGTATAACTTTATGTCTGTTATTTCCTGTCATTATAACTACTGTGTCTTCTTGGTGCTGCCTTTTACTTCTTTCCACATATCCTTACTTCTTTTGAATAACCATCCTTGTACTTCTTTGCATTCTAATAGCTGTGAGTTCATTTTATTTTATTTTATTTATTTATTTATTTTAATTTTTATTTATTTATTTTTCCCCCAAAGCCCCAGTAGATAGTTGTATGTCATAGTTGCACATCCTTCTAGTTGCTGTATGTGGGACGCGGCCTCAGCATGGCCGGAGAAGCGGTGCGTTGGTGGGCGCCCGGGATCTGAACCCTAAGCCATGGGGCCGGCCCTGTGAGTTCATTTTAAAGGTGGAACAGAAAATCTAACCAGCAAGACCAGTGTTGGATTTGGTCTTGTTTCGTTTACAAAACGGTTTGTATGTTGTTAAGTTCCTATTCCCACCCACTTCAGAGTTTCTAGGTTCTTAGGGCCAGGGATTGATTGTATTTGGTTCTTAGTAATGTGGATTCTGTCTTTCCTATCAGCAAATATTTTTTGCCTATTCACTACACAATGTGGTTCTGAACTGTTGTACAAAAGATTATGGCCCTGTGTTTATTGGGTAGTCATATCCTGATTTGTAAACATCACTGAAGTATGTTAAAACTTTTTTTTTTTACTTGTGTACATTGTGTTGGGTTAATTACCAGAAGTCCACACGTACTGAAAATTAATCTTTACTTCTCCTTTTCTACCTGCCTTATGTTCTCCAGATTTCATTAGATATGGTATATTATGGCTTGATGATGTTAGGCATTTAAAAAAAAAATCATCTCAGTGCTCACTGAGGCAGCACATATATTAAAAAAATCATCTCCAAAATATATATTCAGTATAAAATGTATATTGAGTATAAAATTTATACTAAGTATAAAATGTGAGATGTTTTCGTTTGAACTTGGAAAAAAAATCTCAACTTTTAGGCTAGCTTTGTAGCTGATAAAATAGGAATGAGGAAGATTCAGTTGTTGAGAAGGCAAAAAGTAAACTAAAGCAGCAACAGTAGTGAGCAAGACGCTTTTACGTGACTTGTTGGGTGTAAGTTTCACATAAGCCTTGTTATCTCATGTGGTGAGAGGATGTTGGGGACAGCGGTGCCAAAACGTGACATCAATAAAAGTGGAATCTGAGAGTGGGAGCCGGGATGGTAAAGGCAGAGGTGTGAATTTAAATATGCAGTTGTCTCTGGAATGTCTGCAGTTTGGTGCCAGGTATTTTGTGGGAGGTCATGTCGGAGCTAATCATAGACTGCCTTTCCCACTGCATAGATAATAATGTCCCTAGAGAATAGGGCAGCACTACCTAGCACACCATTTTAGTTCTGCTATTGTATTGACTCAGTGGCCTTTTAAAAGAACATTTAAATTTGTGACCCAGGTTGGTCCCTTGAAAAGACCGAGGATCAGAAAAGAATCCCAAATTAAATCTGTGTAACAACTTCTTGTAATCCTGAACCCTATAACGAAATATCCAGCTGCCTATATACAGCATCTTCCCTTGAGTATCTAATATTTAAAAAACTCATTTCAAACTCAGTGAGGCTAAAACTGAACTGATCTCTCCCTCAAATCTGTTCTCTCACGGTGCCCCATCTTGGTTGATGACAAGTTCATCATTCCATTTGCTGTACCAAAAGCCTTGGTCATCCTTGATTCTCTTCTTTTTCTGTTATACTCCATTCCTATTTGTCAGAAAATCTGATTGGCTCTACCTTCAAAATATATCCAGAATCTGGCCGCTTCTCACTACCCTGGTCTAGACCGCCTGGTCTCTGTCCTTGCCCTCCTTTGCAAACTGTTTTCCACATAGGAGCTGCTCTTAAAACTCTGCTCAGGGGCTGGCCCCATGGCTTAGCGGTTAAGTGCGCGCGCTCTGCTGCTGGCGGCCCCGGTTCGGATCCCGGGCGCGCACGGACGCACCGCTTGTCCAGCCATGCTGAGGCCACGTCCCACGTACGGCAACTAGAAGGATGTGCAACTACGACATACAGCTATCTACTGGGGCTTTGGGGGAAAAATAAATAAATAAATAAAATTAAAAAAAAAAAACAAAAAAAAAACTCTGCTCAGAACCCTCCAGTGATTCTCTGTGTTGCTCAGAGTAAAAGCCAGAGTCCCTCAAAGACTCTCTAGGCTCTCCCACACCTCGCTGCGCCCATATGCATTGTTTCCCTCTGACCTCATCTGTTGCTCTCAACCTTGCTCATTTGTTCCAGCCACTCTAGCCACCTTTCTTGTCTACAGATAAGCCCCAAGTCTTTGTACTTGCTGTTTCCTCTGCCTGCATTGCTCTTTGTCTAGATTGTAGGATTAGCTAATTTACTTCCTTCAGTTTTTCTCAATGTTGGCTTCTCAGTGAGGCCTACCTGACTCTGCTGTATCTAACATTGCAGCCCTGTCCTGTACCCCTTCCCCCAGCTCTAATTTTCTTCACTGCACTTGTCACCTTCTAATACACTTGGTCACCTTATTATTTGTCTCTCTCTTCCTTAGGATTTAAGCTTCATGAGGGCAAGGAATTTTGTTTTGTTCACAGCTATATCCTAGTACCTAAAACAGTGCTTGATACATAGGTGGCATTCAGATATTTGTTAAATCAATCAGTGATTAAATCTTTGTGGAAACTGGGATTTGGACAAATAGACCTTTCTGCTTCTTTCCTGAATTTCTGGATTCTTTGCTTTCTGTATTTTTTACCTTATCGACTACCTAGGGCTCAGTCCAGTGGGAGCCATCTTGACTTCTCCTTGTCAGGGCAAGACAGAGGAAGTAGGTATGATAGGGTTTTACTGGAAAGAGTAGAGAGGCCTCAGTTTA